AAATTTATACATAGCGTTTAATGCATTGAGAAACATTCCGGTGGATATCATTTTGGTGAATGGTCCAAGTTTTGTGTGAATCACCACTTTTCTGTGCATTAAACGCTATGTATAAATTTCGAATTTTGACCATAACTCGGTCATTTCTGGCCATTCGCCGATTATCTCAAAAGAAAATACATCTATGAACCGTGTGGAACATGTCCATATCAATTAGAATGGGCTACGCCACTTCCCCTCCAAAATAATTCCTTTTAAGTCTATGGCAATGCTAATTCTATGGGTAATGTTAAGTTTGTGGGAGTAATGTTATTTCAATGGGATAATGTTTTTCCTATGGAGTTATATTAAACGAATCTGACAAATTAAAGCAAACTAATCATTTTCAAAAGAACAACATTTAAGTATTGTAACAAAAGTATTAAAATTTTTTAATTCTTTGATGCATTTTCCGAATTGTGGTTAACGCATAGCATGGCGTGTAAACCTTGTTTTAACATTATGTTAATCGGTGCTGGTTTTTGGTTAGGTTCATACAAATGGTTAGTTTACACAAATGCTACTTCACTAGTGTTTCCAGATGCTCCCGGTTGCCCGGGAGTCTCCCACAATCTGGGTCCGACTCCCGTCTTCTGCCAGGGGTTTCACCATCATATGGGGAGCTCCCGGAATTGCATGATGGTGAATACATTGATACAATTTACACTTTTTGCTTGGAAACCTGCTATAAAGATGAATACTACAATTGAATCGTTTCATCTTACAAAAAGGTAACTTTTTTAGTTACTAAATATAGTAAGTGTTAATAACCATTAAATTCTATGATTCAACAAAAAAAAAGTTACCTCTTTTTAAGATGAAACCATTCAATTATTGAATTCACAATATTTGATTTGTCGAGAATCACATTGAGTAATTTAAGTGAATAATGTCACAAATCATGTAGATTTAAACGTTATTTCGAGGTTTGATTGATTATTTTGATAATTATTAGTTATTAATGACATTTTGGGACTATTTTGCCACTTCAAGGAAACAATCAAAGAATTCTTTAGAAAATCTCAAGGAAACTCCCGGAAAATTTACTTAAAAAATTAATATATCAAGGAACTAGGGAAAATGACCTGGCAACACAATACTGCACACAAGTGCTAATACTGTATATTACAATAAACAGTTAAATTATTCGTATGAAGTTTGACTCAAATACAAAACATAAGATAATTCATATATATATAGACAGGAAAAAAGGGCGATCTAGAGCTTTCTTCACAGAAAAAAACAATTTTCTAATTCATTTTCACAAATATTAAAGTTGTGTTCAAAGCAATGAGTCAAACATTACTTTATCTAAANAAAAAACAATTTTCTAATTCATTTTCACAAATATTAAAGTTGTGTTCAAAGCAATGAGTCAAACATTACTTTATCTAAAGTTAAGTTTTTTCTGTGAAGAAAGCTCTAGATCGCCCTTTTTTCCTGTCTATATTCATATATTATTTTCAATGTTTGTCAATTATTATGGCCTTAAAAATACCATCATTTTATGTTCTAATACAGTAATAGAATATTATAATATACAGTAATATATTCTTTAATCATTTAAATGCATAATTATTGCAATAGAAGACAATTAAAGAATAGTTCCCGAATTTTCCCTAATGTACCTGTTTAACTCCCGACTCCCGATCGGATTTTAATGTTTTTACTTCGGAATAACATTATAACTATTGATACAATTTTTATAAAACTATAAAATTTGAGTGCTATGAATGTGAACTTTATAATAAAACTAAATTCACAATTCTATCTAAAGAATTTACATGGGAAGTTAGGAATACCAATTTTGATTTTAATTTAACCCAATACTAATGATGATACTATTAGTGGTTATAAAAGTTGATATAAATAATAAATGTGCCATAACTATAGTATCAGTTGTTCATTGATGCTAAAAATAATTGACTAATTGCTAATTGAATAGAACAATACGTGGGTATTAACAGAATTTGATACTTTGTTTTTGCACCTGATTTGTATAAATAGATATTCATTACATCCGCGAGAATAGCGTCGACTCTATATAAAGCTATTATTCTATAAAATAGTTAATTCTATTACTCTTCTTATTAGTGAGAATATTGTGTAGTCTTTACTGAAACAAGTGTTTGAGTTAATAATCGAGTTACAAATCTTTTATTTAGTTATTACTTTCCGCACTCATGTAAGTATTTACGTTATAATTATAATCATTTTATTCAATAACATATTTGTAGTCATATTCTTTAAATTTAAAATCACATTTTAAGTCATTGTATTTGAATAAAGTTTCCTAAAGTATATAAAGTAATATTAAATTTACAATAATATTAAATTCAAAATTTTATGATTTGTAATTCAATACCAATTAATTTACTATTAGAATGGATTACAAGAGAAACCAATTGTCAATTTTATTCATTTGTTTGATTTCAATATCAAACTTAAAGTTTGCCAAACTTTCATGCATTGAAAATGATTGCGATATTCGTTCGGAACAATCGGTCAAAAATAAAGACAAGTATTTTTGCCCTCAAATATCATTTTGGAATTAAAAATTATTTTCCAATAAAACACACAATTTTTTAAAATATATGACAGGATTGAAAGCCAAGAAGATTTACCATTAATTGAATTAATGCCCACAAACTCGCAAATCAAACTAATCGGACAGTTATCTGAGTTCCCATTTGAGCCCCGATTCCTCGCAAACACTCCATTGAAAACAAACTCAGAAATGAGTGATAATTCGTTGTCTTTGCTGCCAATGATTGAGAAGATGTCCAAAAATACTAAACAAAATTGGATCCAAAGATTGCGAGACTTTAAGAGAACGGAAGGCAACCGAAACTTTCAAACTCAAGGATGGAAATGATTTAACTCTTGTTTTGCAAACTATTATTATATTATAAAATAATATTGTTATCGATTTAAATCCAAAATCCATTAATAATCAAAAAATATTTGATTTTATAAATAATTAAAAACTTGTGATTAAGAAAAGCAAACATTAAAAATATAATCAATAAGTTTCCAAACGCTTTAAAAAAGTGTTATAAAAATTGAAGTTTTCTTCTAGTTTTCAAATTTTGTTCAAAATTTTTGTTTTAAAATTCATTTTTGTTTTTAAAATGTGAATATCGGGTAAATTATATTTTCATTACAAACTATTTCTTTTAATTACAATAATTTAAAGTGTAGTAAACGATATTCACCTCCAATACAATCAAATTGACTGTATTTTAATATTATAGGTATTAATATTGTTGTGTTAAAAGAGACGGCAAATAACGTCATAACCGCAGCTTATGATTGCCCCCAACGTTGAGCTCACTATAAGTTTTAAGCCTTTTATAATGCATTTCAAGTGTAATATAAGACATAATTAATGGTAGAAATGATTGAGAGAGACGTGAATTGAATGCACACTTGGTTTGAGTGGAAATGAGATAAAAATCATTGTTTTGAATGAAGCGATGATTTGTTGATTGTTTTGTGAAGTGTTGTGACAATTGGTTGAATTGGTTGAGCCATGAATGCGATGGCAATGCAGTCATCGGTTGTGCCGATGAATGGCTTTCNTAATTAATGGTAGAAATGATTGAGAGAGACGTGAATTGAATCCACACTTGGTTTGAGTGGAAATGAGATAATAATCATTGTTTTGAATGAAGCGATGATTTGTTGATTGTTTTGTGAAGTGTTGTGACAATTGGTTGAATTGGTTGAGCCATGAATGCGATGGCAATGCAGTCATCGGTTGTGCCGATGAATGGCTTTCAGTCGACGCCAACGGTTCCGTTGAGTCGTTTGATTGAGTTTGCGATTCAGCGGACATACCATGAGTTGTCTGTTTTGGCGGATCTGTTGCCACGAAAGACAGATATGGAGAGGAAGATAGAGATCGTGTCGTTCGCGAGTCGGACGCGTCAGCTGTTTGTGCGGCTCTTAGCGCTGGTCAAGTGGGCCGGAAGTGCCTCCAAAGTGGACAAATGTGCGACAATTGTCCAATTCTTGGACCGACAGTCGGATCTGTTTGTGGAGACGGCGGACATAATGGCAAAGATGTCGAGAGAGACGTTAGTGTCGGCCCGACTGCCGAGCTTTCAGTTGCCGTCAGCCGTAGAAGTGCTGACTTTAGGCACGTATTCACGTCTTCCGACTGTAATCCGCGATCGTATCGTCCCTTCGGATCCCATCACTGCCTCCGACCGAAAGGCAACACTCCTTCGTCTGAATCATATAATCCAACAACGATTGGTCTCAACAGCGCTTCCGTCGCAGATGAAGAACCTGAAGGTGGAGTCGGGAAGAGTGGTGTTTCATGTGGAGCACGAGTTTGAACTCTCGCTGACACTTATGGGAGACATACCATCGCTTCCGTGGAGAGTCTTAAACGTGAAGATATTGGTTGAGGACAAGGAGACGGGCGGCGGTAAAGATCTGGTCCACGCGTTGCAGATAATGTTCTTACAACACTTGGTTCAGTCCAGACTCACAGACAACTCGAGACCATTGATCGATGTCTACAATTTGTTGCATTCGTTTTGTCTGAGTCTTCAGTTGGAAGTGCTTCAGACTCAGGCCATCCGCTTATGTCACGAACGGTTAGACGACTTCATTCGCATCGATGAATACTCGCCGGGAAATCGTTTAATACTCTCGTATTGGAGAGAACACAACAGAGAGGAGAAGGGATACAAACTCTGTGTCCAAATAGATTCGGCTCAACCCTCACGACCTCTTCAAGTGATACATTTTCCAGAGCTCGAGACCAAAGACACTGTCCAGACATGCGATGCCATCAAATCGGACTACTTTTCCATCGAAAAGATATTGATTCAAACGACTTATGAAAGAGCGAAACAAAAACTCATTCAATTGAAGAAAGAATTTGACGACAAGAGTGTCGGCCTATCAGTACTTTCCGGCTCTCCGTCCGTACTTCAGGTATCGTTTCTTCAGCCGTGTATGACATCCGAGCGCTTATTGATTTCAGTGGACACTCTGACGGGCAGTTTTCTGACACACATTCCTCAGTTCGAAGAATGTCCTATTGTTGACGACATCCAAAACGTTATCAACAAGAATACCGCTAAAGTGATCGCACTTTTGAGACAATTGAGGATTTGGTTGACGTGTCAGAGATGTCGCAAAACAGTGGAATCACTTCCCGTACATGTGGTCGAAAGTCTTCCGTTTCCGACCGCATATTCTCATCCATTTTTGGCCATAAAGTCGCAGAAACTTTACTATCGATTTGGCAAACATTACAACAACTGTTTGGTCACTGTTTTCGGTGAGAATGAAGTGCAGAGCGAAATAGAAATCGATTACTATTTGCTTTACGTCTCGCAAACCTCGTCGACGAGCGTTGAATCGAGCGTTCAGTTCGATGTGGACCTCCCGAAGCCTTACCTTCAGATAACAAAGGCATTAAAGCTCGACATTTCAAATATATTGAGACAATCGTTCTCTTCTGAGGACAGTTGCGATCGAAACGGCAAACGAAAGATATGTTCTATGTCGATCTCCCGAAGCCTTACCTTCAGATAACAAAGGCATTAAAGCTCGACATTTCAAATATATTGAGACAATCGTTCTCTTCTGAGGACAGTTGCGATCGAAACGGCAAACGAAAGATATGTTCCAACAATGAAGTGAAGAAAATGGCCCGAAACGAGACCACAGGCTATTACATCCCAGACTTAGCACATGTGGTCAGCTTTTGCGAAGAGAAGTTGGCCTACAGTTCACTATCACATGAACTGCAGAAGCGGTCGATATGTCATCAAATATTGCAAGACTCTGACGGTTACACACATTTCATAGATATTGTAAAACTGTCGCAATGTTTGCCACAAACGAGTGCCGAGTATTGGGACAAATTACAGGCCGACACTCTTAGCTCAACCATTAGACTCCATGGAAAGGGATCTAAGGTGTGGAACGTAGTGCTGGCCTTCTGTAACCCTCCCCTCCAGACATTGGCGGCCAAAGAGCACGGCTCCAGACGTGTGCTTAACCTTCCGTACGAATACGCCAGCGGTTCTCAAACTCATCTCAATAAAATGGTTGACGAATTACTCAATGATTGGTCAGCCATTGCCCGACTCTATGATGTGATTAAAACATTTGCCGCAAATTTGCAAAACAACAATCAGTTGAACACTTTGTTTGACATCAAATCATTTTCGTATAAGAAGATTATTATAGGCTATGGAATCAATAAAACATT